TTATTTTTTCTTCTTCACTTCGTTCATCAGACTGCCAGGATATTGCTAACAAAGGTGCCATCACCAGTGGGCTTTATTATGTGAAGCCAGCTAAAGCCACTGAGCAGTTCCTGGTCTATTGTGAGATTGACAGCTTTGGACGTGGCTTCACAGTCATACAGAGGGTATGTTTCACTTGAACAAATGTTGAGAAAAAACACTCTGTACTGCCTTCATCTGGCCCTGCATGATTCACAGAGTCTTCTCTTAGAGAACTACAACGACTTAATACTCAGTAAAACAACCTTCCAGTCCTGATAGCAAACAACTGAAGAGACCGTATGAAAATGATTAGGGTTGGATGGGGGCGCTAAACCGTTATGTTTTCATCTTTGAAAGCGTCAGGCCTTTGCCCAATGTAATTAAAACATTGTTTGACTTGTTTGAAATTATACCCTCCCCCCAATATCTCAAAATGATATGAAAGAAATTAGTTGCTACAATTCATCTTGACTCAAAAAGCCAAAGCATTCAATTGCACGGCAGGGATAGACTGAGGACGGTTGCAACACTTTTTGCATGTCTCTCAGTAACTCTGAGTCAGGACAACTACATTTGTATATATTAAACGTACATCTACAATCAAAGATGATTACATATGACCTATCGTATCGTCATATGACACTGAGGACTTTTTTTGTCCACAGAGACGCGATGGCAGTGTGGACTTCAACAAGGACTGGGTCCAATACAAGGAGGGCTTCGGATATCTCTCACCAGACGACACCACAGAGTTCTGGCTCGGTCTCGAGAAGATGCATCTCCTGACGGGCTCTACGAGCATGCCGACTGTGCTGAGGATAGAGCTTGTTGACTGGGAAGGCAACACAAAGTACGTACACACACGATAACAGATTACATAAGAGGAGACCAAAGGGACTCACTGAAAAGCAAACATGACCCTCATAGTTAGTTTTTCCTTTAAAGAACGAAAACAAATTACTCAGCGGAAGTTAACAAAAACTAACAATAATCAATCTTTCTCCAGGTATGCCGATTACACCATGTTCAGAGTTGGATCCGAGACCGACATGTACCGTCTTACATACGGTTACTACTTAGCCGGTGATGCTGGAGATGCTTTCGATGGCTTTGACTTTGGTGACGATCCCAGTGACAAGATCTACACCTCTCATAATGGCATGCAGTTCAGTTCCTTCGACAAGGACAATGACAGGTACGACGGCAACTGTGCTCAGCAGGACGGCTCCGGCTGGTGGATGAACAGATGTCATGCTGCACATTTGAACGGCAAATACTACCAGGGTAAGACAACAGGGCCAGAATCTTTAATTGGTGTTCATTTAAATGATCTGTTAAGATGTTAAAGGTTTTAATAATATATTTTATTAACAACTATCCTCCACATAACGATATCCAAGAACATGTATTCATATTAAAGGTCCACACTAAGCTGTCTGTGTTTTCTTCTATAGGTGGCAGGTATACGGAAAAGGATGCAGGTGAATTTGGCTACGACAACGGCATTATCTGGGTCACATGGCACAACCGCTGGTACTCCCTGAAAGAGACCACCATGAAGATCATTCCCCTCAGTCGCATCACAGCAGGAGGTGGACAGCAGGCTGGGGTGAAACAGTTTGGCGGGCTTGGAGTTTAAAAAGAAGACTAACATGGTTGTGGTCTGTTTTTTGCTTGAGTTAAGGTGTTCAGCACCAAATCACTAAATTAAATGTAATGCCTCCGCGATAAAAATTCTGACTTTATGATGTGTAATTCTTGCATGTTTGGCAGAATTGTGACATTCACATTTTCCTTTCAGTCTCTGTTTTGTTTTGAAACCTAAATATTGTTTTCACCAATTACAGTCAATACTTCTTTGGAGATTTTTTGTTTGGACTAAGTTGCTGTAGTGGAAACACTAATAAATATGGCATGCAGATCTTTTGTTAAGAATTTGCAGATGGGTAAAAACAGACTTTGGTAAAAACAAACACTAAAATAAGATGTATCTGAATTGACTCTGCAAAAGTTTAAATATGTTGTCATAGTACAACAAATATACACCTGTATGTATATAAATAAAACCTTCCTTAAATGTAAAGAATGTGTCCACTTGTTTTTCATATGCTGTGTAATATATTATACACCCATGCATCAGTGTTTATTAATCATTCATTTATCATTATAATTATGAAACCTTTGCAAGTAAGAAGCACAGTCACAGTCTTCAAGACAACACACACACACACACACACACACACACACACACACACACACACACACACACACACACACACACACACACACACACACATACACATACACATACACACACGCACACACATAGAATTATAAGAAGATACAGCAGTGTATTTGCTGTTTTCAAAATAACAGGTTTTTGATTAATGAGTGATCTGGCTATAGACAGGGGTGCACATAAGTGGTACGCAGGTACGCATGCGCGGCAACAATCTGAAATGCGTACCGTCACTTGTGTCACAAAGCGCATTTGCGTACCGATGTATATGTGAAGCTTTTCCATAAGGCGGTTAGATCACCGGACGACGGAGTCGGTCTCCGTGTGCAAAGACAGGGCTGCTGTTAACGTCGGCCTGTACAGCAGCACTGCGCTAAAACAGCTGATCACAACGTTCACACGCTCTGTGGTCACGAAGCTCTGCACTCTACTACTACCCCCCCCCCCCGTTGACATTCGCGATACAGAGGGCTTCATCATACTCCACTAGCACCCCCACCCGCTGATATTCGCGATACAGAGGGCTTCATGGGAACTTTGAGGGAGCCGGAAGTTGGAGTACCAAACACTGACTCCAGGTACTCATCTGAGTACCTCACTGAGAAAGTTGTGTGCACCCCTGGCTATAGAGGACCTTTTAGGCAAATGAAATTCCAGGTTTTAAAAAAATCATGGCTAAAATCGATCAACAACAAAACACAATCCATCTGTTGCCCATTGTCTCCAGTAAATGAATAATTGAAAAATAATGACCAAAGCAGCGACTCTATGGACATTTCTAACAGGCACTTGGAAACATTCCAACATACATTTCAGAAGTAATTCAATCATTTAAACTAAAGTGCTCTTTATAAGGTCACTTCCCGATAGTTGAATAGTGAACTTTACTAACATTTTGAGGTGCTTGTTATCTACTGAAATATACCTGCCTTACTACTGTTTGAAATAGACAGCTTGTTACCACAAGCTTTTTAAAGGGAGGGTTTTTTAGTTGGCTGGTGGTTGCTGCCAAATCACATTGTCCCAAATTGTTATTTGTTTCCACGTTTGGACAGTTTACTTTGTATTGTGCAATGTTACTTGTCCCGATGAATCACAACCCTCACCTCAACAACGACATGTGGAGTCCAAACTCCATTTGGCTCGTTGTAGATGATCTTGCCAAATACCAAATGCCCATGTATGGCCTAATGTAGGTAACAGTCTTTTGTACCCCTCAGTATTTAAAGTCCCAAAGTCAATAAGTGTTTTTGTGATATGTCTCACAATAACACAGTAAATCTTGGAATTTAAATTCCCAATAATGGCCACCTACACCATTTGCAACAACTAGGTAAACTGTTTAGGCATGAACTTATTAGATAGCAATTACTTCATGTGCTTCAGGTAACTAAACTGGCTTGTGAACACTCAGAGTAACCTTCATAGTATCAATATATACACCATAATTATGAGTAAAAACACAAAATATTGTACATCAGTGGTGTAAAGTAATAGATTTACTCAAGTACTGTACTGGGACTTGTATTTTACTTGAGTATTTCAATTTGTTTCTACTTTGTACTTCTACAATTCAGAGGTAAATGTAGTACTTTTACTCCAGTACAATGATTTCATAACTTTAGTTACTTTATTTTGATTAATGATGTGAAATATAATCAAGTCACTTAAATGCATACATAATTATAATCAATATATATAATATATATTATTCTAAAATGGACCAATCTGCACAATGATTACTTTTAGTTTTGGTACTTTAACCCATCAGAACCCACCGTGACACAGATGTTACATGAAAGTTCCTGCAGCTTTAGCCTTTATTTTATCTCATGAAGTCCTTAATTGACCCACACTGAACAGTCTGGTGGGCCGTGGGCCAGGTCATGTGATTTTGTGTCCCCATAACAACATGTCCAAAATGTCCATGCGCCAAGCTAACAACTGAACTAGCTACATTTCAAGCTTGTTTTTTGTTGCTAAAGTTAAGATTCAAGCCATTTAAGAATTATAATGCTTACTTAACATATCCTTTATTACATTTAACATGTTTTGAAAAAAAATCTTGATCATATTGATATGAAACAAACAAGATAAATATCGCTGTGACATTAATGTCACATAGGGACATAAACTTTAACATTTCTCATAAAATCTTGAGTTACACTTATGCACAATTAGAAATATTATTATGATCTGCTCAGTTCATTTAGCTGATTCAATTATATATAGTAAATATATTCTATACTTTTCAGTTCAGAGAATGTTGAAACAAATTTAAACCAAAACATCATCCTCATGAATTTAGTTATGAATAAGCTTTACTTTAACGCTCAATGTGACATATATGTCACTTTCCAGATCTTTGACACTATAGGGGGGTTACTTGTCAGAAATGTGTGATAAATGATGTTCTCCATAATTTCCCCAAAAGTAGAAATGGTTCCAGGTTCTTATTTAAGTATACTTTGATGCCAACACTTTTCTACTTTTACTTGAGTAACATTTTGATTGCAGGACTTTTTCTTTTAACACAGTATTCCTACACTCAGGTACTTTTACTTTTACTTAAGTACACAATATGAGTACTCCTTCCACCTCTGGAATACATTAACCTGTGCAAAATGGAGGTAGGAGTTGTTTATTTAGTTTTTTACAGAATTGCTTTGACCTGCACCTCCTGGCCGCTAGGTGGCGATGATGAACCCCTCAACTCTGTTGTTGTTGTTTACTTCCGGGTTATACGATCGTCGGCTTGTAGCGGTGCTCATGTTTTCATGATTGTAATATATTTTTTGAGTGCGACCAAACAAAACTCCATTCAAAAGTAACTTTATCGTCTGTGGTGTTTTCTCCGTGTTGATATCTCAACCATGGCCGAGGTAAGAAGAGCGTTGAAGTCTTTTCGAGGCTTTTTCTTTATGTCCCGCTCAGAAGCTACAGAACATTACATTGTTGGACCAGGCTAATTGCTGGATAGCATTACGTTTACTATACGATGTCATGTCTATATAACCTATATTCAGGGGTGGAGTGATTTATAAATGTGGCTTGTTTGTATTGGTTGAATATTATTGTATTAAATATAACTATTGTATTATACAGGATGTCCAGAAGCACTCAGTCCACACGCTGGTCTTCAGATCTCTCAAAAGGACTCATGATATGTTTGTGTCCGACCATGCGAAATCCATCGCACAGGATGAAGAAAGGTTTGTATTTTCTTTGTTTGCACAATTACATTTGAGCATGTATGACTCCTTTAAAATTCCACTTGTTCCCAAGTTTAACTTGAGTCCAGCTTTAGACTATTGGTTTACGTTTTACGTTTTGAGATGACGTTTTGTTTGCTTGATCTTTATGGTACAAACCTGATTAAATAGTTCAAGTGACCTGTAATGTTAAATTGGACATCATTACAGAGAAAATGATCGGATAAATTGCACTTATTTCTGCTTTAATGATTATAATAAAGGATATATACATCTGTAGGCTAGTACTTTTATAATGTATATTTTCAGGGCAGAGAAATATTTTCATTCTCCCTTTAAAAAAAAATATAATATATATATGTACTAAATTCAGCCCTGGGCAATATCCTTAAGATGTGTTGTTGTTATAAATAAGGATATTTCTCCAATATTAATATATTTGATCGCTATTATAATTAATTGCTTGTAGAATATAGTGTCGGGGGTCAGTATGAATATATAGTGAGACAGCTGTATCATAATAAGTATTTTTTTGTGTGATGATGGAATTCACCTGTATTTCATTCACTGGATTAACCAACAGCAATCACTTGATTTGTTTTATATATATATATATATCATCATTATAATATTAAGTTGAATACCATACCATGAGAGAAGATGTGATATATATTGCTCTCTCCTGGGAAAATAAAGAAAATCGTTCAAAGCAACCAACTGCATATTGTTTGTATGTATGTGCGTATGTGTATGTATGTAAACATCAGAACAAAATGATGCTTATTTGCCAAGTATAGTTAGCAAGTGAATGATTTTGAAGCAGTAAATTATGCATCCCTGTCTACTGTGTTTGCAGCCAGAAGATGAAGATGTCTGTGAAACTGAAAGCAGACTACAATGCAGTTTTGCACATGCCTGTCCTGAAGGAAGGCAAAGACAGAGTGTCTCTTCTTGCTGGCAGTATGCTGGGCAACCAGAGCTACACACAGCCAGGTGAGGAAGAAGCAAGCACTGCATATTACCCTCAGTGGATTATGGAGAAATCCATGCATACATTTATTTTCTTGACTCCTGAATTCCCAGTATTTAAAATCCCCTAATTTTTTTCAGGGGATGATCCAGAATACCTGATCGCCGGGACACATGCCTATCCCTCTGGACCTGGTAAATACGATGGTTTTAATTTAACCAAGCTGTAATGGTGATACATCCTAACTATGAACATCATCAGCAATATTTGTGTATCTTATACAAGTGTTTTATTATTCAACAGGAGTGGCCTTGACTGCCGACACAAAGGTCCACAGGAATCCAAGTGAGGGAGGAATCAACTCCTTGGCACTCGTTTTGCCACCCTCACAAGCCAGGTACACCTTTTATTTTATTTATCCAATAATCTGGATTGGTAGCATTTTGTATAAACACTCAAGATCCTGAACACGTGGAGAAGTTTTTCAGGATTTTTAAACAACTTCTTGATATAAACTAACAATATTTTTGTGTCGTTATTGAATTTCTAGGCAGGACGTCAGCCGCACCGCTTCCAGTGTTGGTGACATCCATCGACACGCAGGAGGAGGAGAGAGATCTCACCCTCAGTCTTCTTCTGTGGTAGGGAGGTCACACTGTTTCCTCTTGATCAGATATCTTGATTGTTTACCCGTGCTGTAAAAAAGCTGATAATGAATTTGTGTATTTATTTCAGTCTCTCTTGGACGGAGGTGGCACCAGAAATGCGATGGCGAGGAAGGCGCCCACCATGCCCAAACCACAGTGGCATCCCCCATGGAAACTGTTTCGGGTACATACAAATAATCGAAGCTTTAATTTCCCTCTTTATTTGTGTAATGCCAAAGCGGGGCACCTGGGATGTTTCTCTTCTGTGTGATTTTTAAATGTCGTATGTTTGATCTGGTAGGTCATCAGTGGTCACCTCGGCTGGGTGAGATCCATCGCCGTGGAGCCGGGGAATGAGTGGTTTGTCACAGGCTCTGCTGATAGAACCATAAAGGTGAGTAAAGTTGAAAATTCCCGTACTTTCATTTCCCATGCCATGAAAAAAATTCATAAATATGGTTTAACAAGAAGTTGTTGTTTGATTTCAAAGTTTTTATTTTCATATCCTCAAAGCTACAGTGTAGAAATGGCAATGAAATTCTTCTGACCTTGAGCTCCTCCAACATGCTTTTGATTTATATTAACTAACAATACATTAAATTATAACATGAACGATGCTCTGTGACCTTGGTTACAGCAGTTTAACATAGAAGCGTAACAGTTACAGTCTCCAGAGCCTTGAACCACATGTTATGGTCTTTATCAGCAGATTGATATTGGCTCAGTTGTCATGAAGTTATCTCAGTTGGGTCACAGGTTGGTAACTGAGATACCCTAATCATGCTGATAACTCAAGAGTAATGTGGCTAAATGAAAATAGGATGTCTGTGAACCTTTAATCAAATCTCTATAAATCTATCTTAGTGACCCTGAATGGTTAATTGCGACCATATTATATTCTTTGTTGTTTACAGCCAGATGCCATCGGTTTTCCATTGGAACCGCTCGCAATATCAAAAGCGCTTTTTTCAGTATCTTCTTAAACATAATACCCTTAGATTGACTTAAATGCTGTTTGTTCTTGACAGATCTGGGACCTGGCCAGTGGGAAACTGAAGCTCTCCCTGACGGGACACATCAGCACGGTGCGCGGCGTGGCGGTCAGCAACCGCAGCCCCTACCTGTTCTCCTGTGGAGAAGACAAGCAGGTCAAGTGTTGGGATCTGGAGTACAACAAGGTGATCAGGCACTACCACGGCCACCTCAGTGCTGTCTATGATATCGACCTTCATCCAACTATTGATGTGCTGGTGACGTGCAGCAGAGACGCCACAGCAAGGGTAAGCTGCTACTTTGCATTCTCACTGTTAAACGGATGATTGATCACAAAATCATATGATTGGTAGTCGACTCTTGAGTTTGACCTAGTCGAGTCCAGCCCAGAGAGTGTTCACTGCAACTTTAACAATACACATATCATTCATAGGCTCTCCTTAACACAACTGAAAAAGTTTAACTTTACAGCTCAGTTGCCACCGGTTCATGATTTCTAACTTTTCACTAGTCACATATTTGAATTCATTTATATTCCCTCTGCCCTGTTACTGTGTTATAAAGTGAACTGAATTCCAGTTTCTCCATGTTTATGCTAAGCATCCTTTATGTTCTGTTTCATGTGTTGATTAACCCTCTGTGGTTTGTGTTCAGCTCTTTATATGTTGTGCTTTCAAGCATGAACAATTTCTAGCTATCAGATATCTGTATCTTCATCGACACCTTATACCTTATACACCTTATATACAGCATATATCAGACAATAGTTAAACGGTGAACACAATACTCCTTCTGCACTTTCACTTGGTGTTGGTGTACTTTTAACTGGTGTGCACCCTTCCCCTCACTCCAAGTAATACGTTTATTAAAGAGATTTGATTTATTCCCTGTCCATGCAGGTTTGGGACATCAGGAGTAAAGCCAATGTGCACACCCTGACCGGACACACCAACACTGTTGCCACAGTGAAGTGTCAGGCTGCAGAGCCACAAATCATCACTGGTAAATACATTTGTTTAAACCCAAAATGACCTAAGAAGTTATCAAAGTCGTACCTGATTGTTTGGCCCTCCGCTAACCACTGATTATCATCTTGCAGGCAGTCACGATTCAACCATCCGGCTGTGGGACTTGATCGCTGGAAAAACCAGAGCGACTCTGACAAACCACAAGAAGTCTGTCCGAACTCTGGCAATGCACCCCAGACAGTAAGTTACCTTACCAATAACATCTCCTGTTTAAGTAGTAAGTGTTAAGCATCACTGTTGATACACGTTAGCTGGTTTGCGCTTTTTAGGATTAGTTGCCTGCGTTTTGTATCATTCCATTTAAATTGCTCAAACAAAAAACAATTCTAGTTTAAAAAGAATAAGAGTTTGTAATATCCTCAACATATGGTCGCCTTACTTCCTGTGTCCTACAGATACACGTTTGCCTCTGGTTCTGCTGACAACATCAAGCAGTGGATGTTCCCCGATGGAAGCTTCATCCAGAACCTGTCGGGCCACAACGCCATCATCAACACTATGGCTGTCAACTCCGATGGCGTGTTGGTGTCTGGAGGTATTCAATTCAAGCTAAACTATCACTTGTTTTGTCTGCAGTAATGTTTAACTCGTGTAATAGATTATTATTTCTTAGTTGTGTTGATGCTGTCTCAGAATCCTGATACATGTGCATGTTTCTTGTTCTCTGTAGCCGACAATGGAACCATCCACATGTGGGATTGGAGGACAGGCTATAACTTCCAGAGGATTCACGCCGCTGTGCAGCCCGGCTCTCTGGACAGCGAGTCTGGCATCTTCGCTTGCATGTTCGATAACTCAGAGAGCCGGCTGATCACTGCCGAGGCTGACAAGACCATTAAAGTATACAAGGAAGACGACACCGCTGTAAGTTATGCCATCATATTTAAAATGTGTATTTGAATTGGCTCTGAAGCAGTAGATAGAAAATATGACCGCTCCTTTTTCTTTCTTACAGACAGAGGAAACCCATCCCATCAACTGGAAACCAGAAATCCTCAAGAGGAAGAGATTCTAATCATTTTTTATTTGTTTCTTTTGTCACAGTGATGTTTAATTGTATTTCTACCAATCCTCCAGTTGTAGATACACCCATCAAGTTTGTCTCTCTACTTGTATTCCTTAACAACTTATGTCTCATTGACAGAAGTGCCCACATTGTCCTGTTTTATTCTAAAAACCATTTGCAGTCTTCATTGTAAGATGTGAGTCCGGTAAAGTGGCCATTTTGGACTGCCAGGAACTTCCCAGAGTGTTTGTTCTTGACGATGACGGCTCTCTGATGGCTCTGGTCCGTCTGGTCCACCAACATCAGCCACTCTTCTCTCTCAGAGGGGCTGACCTCAGAGTGGGCCTGGTTCCTGCTGGGGTCGAATCCTGCAGAGCGACAAACCAAAACGCGTTGAATAATGGTTTGGAGAAAAAATAAAATTGTATTGAATTTTCCAGTTGTACAGACTTGGAAATAAGCCTTTTTTTCAGTTCGCAATGTGAAGTTTTTTTTCTTCCTTTAATAAAAAGTGCATTTTTCACATAATTGCTTTTTGTTTGATTTGTGTACTTACCCAGGTATCTGTTGGTGACAACGTTCCTGTAGTATTTACAGCCGTTGCCTTTAATCTCCAGCCAGTAACAATGCTCTCCAGCTTTCTCACTGAGCTCCACTGTGTTCCTGCTGCTGACAGTCGGTTGGATTATCTCACCTGTGAAATCATGTTGCAGCAAAAGAGGTGGCCAAAAATTAGTAGGATTTTACACAGTTTGGTTTAAATGTGCAGGGCTCGGATTGCTATTCAGATAACCCTAACCCTAATACAAGTAATACATTTCCTGTCCAACAGTTAGAACATTAAAAACGTGTTAACAATGTCCCAGTTAATCCTAGACATGTCATGCACTTGTTGGAACTCCTGTCATGTGTCTCAATGGGATGGCAACTTTGGAAGGATTTTCCAGAAACATTTACCCCAAAGAAACCATTTTTCTTTTAAACCCATATCTACCTGAATCATGGATGTAGAGCTTTGAGAGAGCATGGCGAAACCCTCTCCCAGGTTTCTTTTTCAGGCGGGGTTTTGATGGTTCAGGCTGATCCACCACCTCTCCCTGAGGTTCTTCAACTGCCAGGAGGTGACCCACGTTAAACATGATCTCCTCCTCCAGAGAGCTGAGACACATCTCAAAGTGCTCCTCACCCTTCTCTGCATTTCTAGAACGACAACACAGATGTAGGTAACAAAAATATCTAAGAGCTCAGACGTTCATGTTGAATCATACGATCCAATCTTTATAATAGACTTTATTTGACCAAGAATGTTCCTAAATACATTTCCTTTAACCTGTTAAGCCCTGAGCCTGTTTTTCAGGTTTCAGGCTCGAAAAAGACATTGCCAGAACAAATTACCATATCTTCCCTTCTAAAAGGGTTAAATGAATAATCTTTTTTCTCAAAGTAATGATAAACCTGTGAGTTGGATGTAGAAAAGTCAGAATCAATATAGATGTCTTTTATTTTAAAGAAAATTCAGATTGAACATGGTAAAAAACTAAATGATAGTGTCCGTCCAAAATATATTTTGTACTTATAGTGAAAACTAACCTTGGATGATGGGTTAGTAGACTAAAAGCTTTAGGAATCCAAAGTACAACATATAAGTACCCTGTATCAAGATTGATGCAAAACAAGTGATATTTGACCTTTTTAGACAGATTTAGCAAAANNGGCCCCCTTGCTCGATTTTGCTGATTGACATCTCTTTCTAACCGTCAGAGCCAATGGAATCGAGGGAACTCCCACATACTCCTTATTTGGTAATGTGTGTGTGTGTGTGAGACTGCCGCATAGCCAAGACCGGAAGCTGCGATAACTCTGGTGGCTACCATTAGCAGCTAACTTTACTCTCCGATTTTTACATAAAATGGAATTATCGATTATAAATAAAAAATATTATAACCCAGAAGAAACATTATCAACCATGGATTAACCGATTCAGCCGCGTTTTTTCTCGTTTTAATGCCATTGAACACGTCTTTTGATCAGATTGACAGCTACGGTGAGACGATCTCCCTAAAAGCTCCGTAAAGGTACGTGTTGTGATGTCTGTGTTTGCTTCCCCTGTCGCGAGTTCGGATCACTCAGTGATGATACTATATACCTAAATAATCTGTGGAACCTCAGCTTTAATCGGATATCTTGTATGTGCAGCTACGATAAGTAATAAGGGTACTTTTATCTTGAGTTCTGTGCCAAAGTCCGTTAGCATTTTTCGCTCAGGGGTCATTTAGATGCTTCTTATGAGACTTGTGTTTTGTTTTGGTAAAAATTGTTTGTATCGTCAGTTAGCTGAGATATTTCCGTTAATCTGGTATAACACATTAATAGGTTCTTAAATATTAAGATGCCCTGAGACACAGTGTCGTGAAAAAAAAAAGTAAAGTACCCGCCGGCGGGGACCTTGGGGCTTAACAGGTTAATCATTTGAGTGTCTGAAGTTGTCTCCCTGTCTGTTTGAAAGGCCTCCTCACCTGAAGTCCACCCACAGCAGGCCTGCAGTGATCAACCCCAGCCACTCGCTCGCCTCCCAGTTGTTGGTCAGCATGACGGGCACGATGCTGACCTCCCTGCTGTCTGCGTAGTTGAGCTCTTTCTTACAGCTGCGGGACGCCTGGTAAGCTGGAGACATGAATGGACAAATCACCACAGCCTCCTCCACACCTGCAGCCATCCTGAAAGCACACAAGACAAAATGTATTCTGATTGATCTAAATCATTAATTTAATTAATCCACTTAATCCAGATTTCTCTGTACTCACGAATCGTTTATATTTCCCGTCACCCCTCCTTCGATATCCAACCACACTGGCAGACCATCATCTTTGAGGCGGTCATAAATCTTTTTCACCAGAGCCTGGTCATCCCACTGGTAGGAGAGCATGATATGAGAAGGCATTTTTCCTAAAAATCTGAGAACACTATATCGAAAGCTTCTGTGTTGGAGTTTGTGGAGTTGCTGAACAAACTGACCCAGACAAAGGGATCCTCAGTAGCTATGCTGCTTGTTTACTCGGGTATACAGCTCAGGTTACATCTGTTGCTTGGTAACTTCGCTTGCAAGCACCATGGGAGGCTGTGTGATGGATACTCTGCCCTGCAGGACCAATGGGAGCTGCAACATCATTATCAAGGTGCTGATAGAGCTATGTGTCTAAATAATTAACATTAAATGCCTCATCAAATGTATTATTTTTTTTAATAATATTGAATACAATGTGTCTTTTTTTCTCTCAGGGTATTTTGAAATACTTTAGAAAACATTTTGACTCAGATACTGTTATAGGGACAGAGCTTTTCCACATTTAAGGTTAATGAAGGTTTTAATATGATTATAAATGTACTTTTAATGTCTATCTAGGAAGCAAATAGCCACATTCAGTTTATGAGTTCTTGATTCGAAAATAATATGATACAGTACAGTACTATTACGTCTGGATCTCTGTGTTTCATTAAAGCTCGGCTCTGTGTGTGTGTGAAACGAGCCATTTAGTGTGCGTGCGCAAGCGAGAGAGAGCGCACCGGTACGGTACCGGAGATCGTTGTTGTTAGCTTCTGGTGCTAGCGAGCTACGCTAATGGATATAAGGAGTTTTTTCAACAACAAAGTGGAGGAGAGTCCTCTCCCGTTAGACTGAGAGAACCAGTGAACTAAGGACTCCTCTCAGTGCTATCTCAGTGGGTCTCAAACGTTTTGGTCACCATTCATGTAAACAATTATTTCCAAGGCACACGTTTATATGATCATTATAGTTATACAAAAATAAGAGAATAAATGAAAAACAGGTATGAAATACTATATGACAGTAAAAAAAGAATAAAGTTTAAAAGGATGATTTGTAAAATATCCATAAAGAAAAAGTTAATCTGTTTACAGTTCTGTTTCAAATGGGTGTTGATATGTATCCATAGATCTCTTCATTTTGCTCTCAAAGTGCACCAGATTGATGCATTTAACTTCAATATTTAAAAATAAATCTTCCCCGGGGAGCTTGCCCCCGGACCCCCCTATGTAAGGTCCACACACCACCTATAGAAATAGCACTTTACCCCTGCTTACACCTATATGCCATGAGCTGATTATCGAGCCTTCATTGTAACAGTTGCGGGTACACTGTGTATGTGTGTGGGGATTGTTGCAGTAGAGAATTCCACTGTAGCGACCGGTACATTAATGGGAAACCCTAAATGTTTGAGCACCCTCTATGAAACGTCAAGCTACCCCACAGCACCCCCAAAATAAATCTCTGGCGCCACCACTGAGCCTGCCTTGTGTTGGGGGGGCCCGACCTTTTTTTTTTCTCCAAATGGGGGGCCTGACAGAAAAAGTTTGGGAACCACTGTTATATGCAAACCTGTCAAATATATTGTGCAAACTGTTCTCAATCTTTTTGCAATTTTTTTATTTAGGGCATCAATTTCTTTTTAAAGATACAAATGTTTGGACACATGCAAAACGTTATTTTAAAGTATTACAAAGGATCATAGACAGCTAGACACTTTTTCATGAGCATCTTTTCAGACGCTTAACATGTTACTAAATTATTCGAGCCCATAATTGGCAAAATAACTTTATCAAGCTCAGGGTTGTTTGTTTGACTGTATTTTAAAGGGTGTTGCAGTTAAACATTTCAGTTCTCTGCCTGCGGTTCTTATTTTTGCCGTTGGAGGGAGCCATCCTAAAACTAAATGGACATCAGCCAAACAATGAACCTCGTCGAACTCAATTTATATTTGATTTATTCTAAACACTTCTCCAAAAGCATGTGGGCCGAATCACAGATTGTATTATTAACTTTCTGACAACAATTCTCTCCATGAGTTGTTTCCCCTACTTTGCACACCTTGATCTTCGACTGGTCAACTATTGACTATAGTACCTTTCAGCACGCGGCACTAATCTCCGGGTCTAATTAAATCTTAAGCAATCCGCGCACAGATGGAGGCGATCAGCGCGAGACGTGGGCAGGAGGTGTGTTCAGTGCGCACAGTGGGTACTCTGTGGCCTCTCGGTGCCATGATGTGTGAGAAGCCCTGGGGGATTTGCGCTCCTAGATGTGTGGATATCTCTTCTTCAAATTCAAGCAAAAAAGCTGCTCGAATATTGTGATGGAGAATGACTGCTGGCGGTTTTCCTGTGCTCAAAAATGCAAGGTGCGTTTACCTGATTTATTTTTGGAGAGGTGCTCTGAAATGTGATGGAAGAGTTTGACTTGGACACTGAAATATGTAACGTTGCTTAAAGTTCAAAACCATGTGGAAAGGAGCAATGGGTCGCAAAAAAGCCTCACCGTCGCTTCTCTGGGCCCTCGTGCTGTCGCTGCTTTGCGTGCGGTCGCTCGGGCAGGTGTTCAACCTGACGCTCTCTGTTAAAGAGGGGTTGCCTGCTAAAACCATCGTTGGAGATCTGGGAGCAGGATTAAGCAGGCCAAGCACCGGATTCTTCATCTCAGAGAGCAGAGACTCTTATGTGTTCAGAGACTT